CAGCGGTCACTCTTTCAGGGATGAAGATGTTCACATCCTGGATAGAGAGGAACGATGGTTTGAGAGAGGAGTAAAGGAGGCCATCTTTGTGAAAAGAAACCGTCCATCGTTAAACAGGGGTGGAGGCCTACGTGTTCAATTGTCCCCCTCTTACAATGCTGTGATTGCTAGTATCACTCAGCCCTCTGTGAATAGTACACAGCCATCAGTGTGCTAATGATCCATTGTTAGGCTGATGGTCCTTCTTGAGCATGTGATCAGCTGGTTTTGGTTGTTAGCAGCAAAACTGGTTGATCCACTCTGAGAAGGTGCTATTTAAGAGACTGAGCTGAATACAGCACCTCAGACTGAGGAAGTCTCTCAGACGAGAGACGAAACGTTTCTACATTTTTTGTTGTTTTGCTTTGTTTTGGTTTTTTTTTAATGTCCAGAGGACCAGATTGAACTTTTTTAGATTTTTCTACCTGGATTATTGAGCATGCATCAGGATATGCTTATGCATAAGGTTTTTTGTTTTTTTTTACTTTCCTAAAATGTCAATATTTCTCACTTTAAATATGCACTGGATGCATGCGTCTACCTCATAGTTAATTATAAATTAATTAGTTTTTTGTTGCACTCAAAGCATAAAATTGTACTTCCTTTGTTAAACTTTTAGCTTCCCATTGAGCTTAAACACAGTCTCCACCTTCACCCTGTTTAAACTGACGAAGCCTAAATTTAAGATTTTCAGACGCTGTGTGCTGGAGTAATTTGGAGTTAGAGAAAATATTTTGTTTTTTAACACTAAAACGTATAAACCTGAGCTCATAGAATCATACAAAAATACATGTGTGAGAAATTCTTGAGCTCCTTTTTTTTTTCCATTTTATGTCTTCACACTGCGTGGATGGCTTTATGCCCACATAGACATTAAACGAGCTCCAGTGCAAAATGAGTACCTACCTTGAACACCATAAATATATGATAGTCCTCTAGGTCCAATATGTTTCCCTGTTTTCCAACATTTCCCTCCCACATAGTTTCCACCAATTGAATGTATCCAAGTATTTTAAAAACATGAACAGCTTCACTATTTGAATAGCTTATATTAGTTTTTTACAAAAACATACATTTGTTCTTTATATTTTCTTAAAAGTTATTTTTTTTTTGTCATTAAATCTCCTTCTACAGTATTGAAAAACACATTGTAAAGAATAAATACACATGCAACTTGATTGGGAATAGTGTGCTAAGGCTTTAGGTGTGCATCATACAGCTTAGACAAAATTCACCCAAAAGTCTATAAAACATTTAGACAAGAAAAACATTTTGCTAAAACAAGTGAGAAAACCCAGATCATTTTGTAACTCTACAGCTGAGTCATGATTCACAGAGGAAACATCATTTAAAGTTGGACTTTTCATGATGGAACTGACATTTTGATGGCTTTACCAGTTAGTTTAAAGCCATTGTAGCTGTCCAAATACAAGTTTTCTATGTTTTTGATTGGAATTGTTTTCCTTCAAACACAGTTTCTACTTCATTCAATGATTGTTCAGTATCACAGTAATGGAATACCCAGAACATTTGGAATGAGGCAAACAGGCTCTTAAATAATTAAAGTGGTTTATTTACTATATATATATATATATATATATATATATATATATATATATATATATGTGTGTGTGCGTGCGTGCGTGCGTGCGTGCGTGCGTGTGTGTGTGTATGGTGGGGGGGCAGCTGTGGCTGAGTGGTTAGAGCAGTTGTCCTCCAGTGGGAGATTTGGGTGTTCAAATCCACCAGCAGTCACATGCTGACGTGTCACTGGGCAAGACACTGAACCCCTCATTGCCTCTGATGTGTGTCCCGGCGGTGTATGAATGTGATCTAAAACACAGAGACTAGTAGTAAACTAGTAGAGTTCTGTATGAATGGATAAATGAGGACACAGAGTGTAAAGCGCTTTGAGTATCTCGATCAGATTGAAATGTGCTATATAAGTGCAATCCATTTACCATTTTTTAAAACAGTCCACATGGTCCAAAGAATAAAGATGGTGAGGAAGAGGGTTCCAGAGCATCTAGGTTGTTCTGACTCCTTCAGTTTTTAGTCTGGATTTAGAGACAGACAGCAGTTCCTGATCAGTCAACTTCAGAGTCCTGGTGATGACATATATGGGTGTAGAAGTTCAGAAATGCTTGAAGATGAATAACCATGAAGAGTCTTAAAAGTCTAAACCAGAACCTTGAACAGGGTTTTATACTCAGCAATGAGCCAATGCAAAGATATCAGTGAAGATGATGCATGGAAGTGCTTAAAGGACCGAGTCAAGGTGCTCCATTTCAGACTAGCCACAAATGATCTAAAGGTTTTTATGAAGCCAAGTAAAAAGTGAATTACACCAATTAATACGAGATGAAGTAAACACATGGATAATCATTTCCATCTCACCATTACAGACTACAGCACTCAGGTTACCACTGTTCTTTACCTGAAAGAAACAAGAATAACATTTTTTCATATGTGGCTCAAACCAGAGATTACCATCAAAAGTCACTCCCTGTTATTTAAATGGAGTTATTTTAAGGAGCAAGAGGACACAAATGGCCAGTAATCTGAGGGACTAGGTTTTTGTGAGACCAACAGATGCTTCTGAAATTTACAGTTTGGAATTTTTTTTCAATATAATGTAAATTTAAAAAAAAATTGCACAGTGACTATACTGTCTGTTTGCATTTCTGTCTGTCTCATTAACACTGCAGTCAGGGAGTGACAGATGTGTGTGCTTACCATGGTGACACTAATGAGCCTCTGGCATTTCTTTAGCTCTTGGTTTCCTTTGTACATTTCTACAGTTTAAACATCAAAACAATGGCATTTTGTTATCTTAGATTGTAATAAATACCATTTGGTTGGTTCTCTAACAATTTCAGACAATGTGTTCAACATAATGGTACTTCCTCCAGTTATTTAACAGTCAACAATGGTGTACCACAAGGCTCAGTCTTAAGATCCACCCTCTTTACAATCTACATAGGTAATGTAAGTCAGAGCATCCTTGATGCATCCTTACATTTCTATGCTGACGACACAGTTGTTTATTATTGAGCTAAAACAGTTGCTAAGGCTTTCTAGCTTTTACAGTCCGCCTTTGACATCATTCAGACATACTTGCTCCGTCTCAAACTTGTCCTTAATGCCGATAAAACCAAAAGGATGCTTTTTTCAAACAGAAAGTCAGTCCGAACAGTTCTTCCGCTGGTTTTATCCTCAAATGGTGTCCCTATTGAGTTTGTTGATTCCTATAAATATTTGGGTATCTTGGTCGATTCGCATCTCTCTTTTAAGCTTCACGTGGAAAATCTAGGAAAGAAACTGAAAGTTAAATTGGGTTTCTTTTTCAGAAATAGATCCTGTCGAAATCTGAATGCTAGGAAATGCCTTGTAACTGTGATTTTCCTTCACTCCATTGATTACGGTGACATTATTTACATGCACCCTGCAGATGCTGGATGCTGTCTATCATGGTGCAGTAAGATTCATAACTGGCTGTAAATATCACTTCACGCAGACTCTCCCACTGGTACATTTTCATCTTTAAATCACTTCTTGGTCTGCTGCCTTCATACATCTCCTCCTACATGTCTCTGTGTGAGTGCAGCTACAGCGTGCGCTCTCAGGACATTATTACCTGCAGTGTTCCCTCAGTGCGGGCTGAACTAGGCAAAAGAGCCTTCTCCTACTCAGCTCCTGTTTCCTGGAATATCTTGCAAAAAGATCTGAAGCTCTCGACCTTGACCTCTCTAAGTGGCTTTAAATATTTTCTAAGTTCCTGGCAAAAACCAATGCAGACATGTTCATGTTTTTAGTTTTCTACACCGCCTTACAACCTAGCTGTTTTTTTGCTACTTTTCCTTTTAATTATCCTTTTAATTACCATTTTATTTTCACTTGTTAAAACATTAACTTTTTATGCATCTTTTATAATTGCCTACTGTTGTCATTATTCTTTATTAAAATCAGGTCTCTCTTGTAAATGAGTCCCTGAGGCTCAATGGGATTAGCCTGTATAAATAAAGGTTGAACGAAAAATAGAAGTCACATATTCCTTTGGGGTTTAGATAAGAAAGTTGTTTGTTGGAATTTTAGGCATTGGTACCTTTTAAAATTTCTTCAGAAAATTTCTACTTACTTTTTACGATCTTAATTCATATGCTTAGTGCTTTTATTGGATTTGAAATCCATTTTGTTATACTTTGTCTTGGGTATAATATTTGACTTATGTCGACTTATTGTTCGACTTTTAGTTCTGCTTTAGTGAATCACACCAATGACACAGTTTTTTTCTTAGCTCTGAACAACAATCAAATGTCTGTTTTTATAATGAAGCTGGTCATGAATGAAAAGTGAAGCAGGAATGGTTGATACAAAGAGGTGGGTGAGTGAATGAGCAGAGAGTGCAATTGGTCTGATCCCTAGCCGGGACAAAGACAAATGGTCTTAAAGTGGCGACAACACTCCTGGTGTGTGTGTGTATGTTACACTGCCATGGCCCCAGACAGGCTTTTGTCAAAGTGGTACATGGGTGGCGACACACAGCAGCTGACAGAAGGACGTGACACAGAAGGCTGTTTAGGGAGACGACTGGAATGTAGTGACTCTCAGAGGAACGTCACTCGGCTGATCACAACAATAATCAGGCTGTGAGTGTGTGTGTGTAGGTTTGATGCTTTGGTTCTGTTTCCCCCAAACAACACTCCAAACGGTGAGGGAGCTTGGATTGTAGCTGGTGTAGGAGTGCTTCTGTTGCAGTCTCTTATTTTGCAGGTGCAAGGTCAAAGCTGGAGGTCGAAGGAGAGACTCAGAGACCAAACAGACTGCTCATTGTTGGGGCATGCTCAACACTGCTTCACTGTGCTCAGGAATCTTTTTTTCTCATCCCTGACAAACGCTGAAGCTGATGAAAACCCCCTCTGTGACTGATTTTGTATCATTTTCTGCATTCTGTTTTACAGATGGTGTTGCTGGCGCGCTGCGAGGGCCACTGCAGCCACACCACTCGTTCAGACCCCCTCATCTCCTTCAGCTCAGTGCTCAAACAGCCGTTCAAAAGCTCCTGCTCCTGCTGCCGGCCTCACACCTCCAAGCTGAAGGCGGTGAGGCTGCGCTGCGCTGGTGGGACTCGCATTACAGCCACGTACAGATACATCCTTGCTTGCAACTGTGAGGAGTGCAGCTGAACAGGCAGCAGTTCCCTCCCAGACCCTCAAGACTCTCAGCATTCAACATTTTTCTTGGCGTCGGACCTCACTCTATAGTTGCTCAGAGCATTTGGATGATTACTGGATCAACCAACTGCCCCAAAGATGTGTGACATTACTATGGGAGTAAAGATTTGGAGGAATCGGATCTCCCTCATACGTTCCTTAACATTGACCTAGACCCACATAGAACATACTATAATATATCTATTATTTGTGCTTTCAATCATGGAAAACCATGCAAAGCATATTTATTTAGCACATGAGGTCAGACACGACAAACTGCTGCTCCCATGGTCCAGTATGAGCCCCTCGCACCAGTGAACCGTGGCGCTCATTGCAGAATTTTGTAATTTATTACATGCACGCTCAAAAAACACAGCCTAACGCTAATATCTGTGACAGTGTTCTCCCAGCTCCATGAAAAACCCAACATGCATTTGATTACAAAACAACACGCCTTGTTAAAATGCAGCATGGGAAAGGATGAGGCCTCCACAAGAACGAGGGGGAGGGGGGGTGTCAGCATGAGCCCAAGCACATGGTGGATCTACAGTATAATGGAGCACCTGCACCATTACTCACCCAGTAACATTTTACACACTCCCTGTAGACTTTCATCTAGCTGTGTAAAATGCAAGCAGCGCTGACAGGAGAGCTCATCAAGTGCACAATAAAAGGTAAAAAGAGCCTCGAGGATAAAAACATAAGGATGGAGGTGTGTCAAGTCTCTGGGTGGTGCTGTGGACTGGAACTAGACGGTCAATCATATTAGTGTTTATTCAAAGTGTATTTGAATCTTTGTGATGTTAATGTCAGCATTATTGTAACTACAGCTTCTTTCATACTGTGTTGATCCAAATGCTGCTAATGCTTGTGATGTCTTTTTACCTCTGTCCAATGACTTGTGTCAGATCAGCTCTACGGCTGTTTAGCAAAAATCTGAAGAAGCCTGTGTATGTTTGTCTCACGTGATGAATTCAGATCCTCAGACTCTCATGCAGCTCATTCTGTCTGACTCATCGGCCTTCAGATCTTGTGGTCAGTTTATCTGAAAATAAAACACGTTGTTGTTGAAAATGTGGGTTTTGTATGATTAAATCTCGCAAACCACATAGACACAAAAAATAAATCACAGGTTTAATGGATGCAAGGAAAGAACCAAATGCAGCCATGATTGAAATGGAATCCCTTGTGAACATGTCAAGCTGTGTTGTGGATATTTTCCTACTGTAAACATCATTATTGCTTTTGGCGGCACGTTGTACTTGTCTCAGTCTTTAAATACAGATGCTTCAGTGTAACTCATTCTCATTTTATTAGAGCAAAAGTTCTATTTCAGCCTAAATCATAAAGCCTTCTAAAGAACGATCAAAAGTTTTTGGTACCTAAACAAATAATTGATGAAACTGAAAGAGGATTTCTCAGCAAGAATTAAAACAGCAGTGGACCTGTGAAGAAGCTGAACCTGGTTCTTCATTACGTGTACTTAATGTCTGGTTGTTCCTAAAGTGTGTAACATTAAAAATATTTTATTGGTAGTGATGCTCATGACTTTATTGTCCTTGGTGTGTATTTTCATCAACAGTATCATAGCACTACCACAAAAGGGAAAAAAAAAAAAAAACAGATTTAAAGTTTTAATACAATAAAAGTTTTGTCAGTTTCTCTCTTGAAAATAGATCAACAATCAACCTAAATTTATTTTGTGTAACAATAAGACAAATATAAGGAAAGATGTTTGTTATGGTTGTATTCCAAAGACTTAGACTTAAATGAAAATCATGTCCCTTCTGGCGGCATGGTGGCTCCGTCGGCAGCTTGTTGCCTCTCAGCGAGGAGGTCACCGGGGGCCGTTCTGGGTGGAGTTCACATGTTCTCTCCGTGCATGTGTGGGTTTTCTCCAGGTACTCCGGTTTCCTCCCACAGACCAAAAACATGCATGCTGATTGGTAACTAAATTGTCTCTAGGTGTGAGTGAGAGAGTGAATGGTTGTTTGTCTCGTTTGTCTCTATGTGTCCCTGTGATGGACTGGAGACCTGTCCAGGGTGTACCCCGCCTTTCACGCAGTGATGGCTGAATATGGGCATCAATGACCCCCGCGACCTGAAAAGGAAGAAGCAGGTAAAGATAATGGATGGATGGATGGATGGATGTTTCTCTTTTTGTTTTGGTGCGAGTCTTAACCAGTTTTGTTTCATTTCCATTTCTTCTGCTCTGATCACAGAGAGCAGAAGAAATGGACACTACAATAATCTAAAAACAAAACTGGTTAAAGTGATCTTTGGTTAAAAGTTAAAAAGTAATAATTCACTGGCATGAAACAATTATTTTAAGACTTTAAGATGTGCCAACATTCAAACAATGAGCTTTACTCTTTAGATATTTGTTGCTACTTTTTCATTTTTTAAATAATATTTTATTATCTGCCTCAAGTGGAGGAGTTCAAGTATCTCGAGGTTTTTTTCATGAGTGAGGGAAGAATGGAGCTGGAGATTGACAGACGGATTGTTGCAGCATCTGCAGTATTGCAGACTGTACCGGTCCATTGTGGTGAAGAGGGAGCTGAACTGTAAGGTTCAGCTAAGTTAAAGGTAGCTGTATTATAAAGTGCTCTCTGTTTACCGGTCGGTCTACGTTCCTCCCCTCACTATATGGTCACGAGCTCTGGGTAGTGACTGAAAGAATGAGATTGTGGATACAGGAGGTTGAAATGAGTTTCCTCTGCAGGGTAGCTGGACTCTCCATTAGAGATACGGTGAGAAGTTCAGCTATCCAGGAGAGACTCCAAGTAGAACTGATACTCCACATCGAGAGGAGCCATTTGAGGTGGTTTGGGCATCTAGCAAATGGTGCTTCGGGTATGTATAACTGGGAGGAGACCCCGGGGAAAACCCAGGACATGCTGGATATGCTACTTCTCTTGGTTGGTCTGGGAACACCTTGGAGTCCTCCCAGCAGAGCTGGAAGAGGTGGCTGTAGAAAGAGATGTCTGGACCTCCCTGCTCAAGCTGCTGCCCCAATGACCAGACATTAGAACAAGCGAAAGCTAATGGATGGATAGTTTACTTTTAGTCTGTCATGTGTGACCAAGAGAAAATTGTGTTCAATATCTACCCACTCAAAAAAGGGTGTCCTCCTGAAAAAATGTTCAGAAATGTAATTTAAAATGTGCGATTACAGGTAAAATGGACCATTTGCTGTTATCACCACATTCTGCACAACCATTGTCGAGGTGGCTGAGCGGTGGTGCAAGGTTGTTTGTGCCTCTGGCAGCATCCACCATTATAACAGGTGGTGGACACCCCATGTGAGGGAGGCAGTCAAGATAACAGAGTCCTGTCAAGTCCTGTGAGATGGTAAGACTAGATGCAGCTGAGGGATATGAGCAGGACAAATGAGCTGCAGCACTGACTGTTTCTGAGGCAAAGAGTGAGATGTACAGTGGTGCTTGAATGTTTGTGAAGCCTTTAGAATTTTCTGTCTTTCTGCATCAATATGACCTAAAACATCAGATTTTAACACAAGTCCTAAAAGTAGATAAAGAGAACCCAGTTTAACAACGGAGATAAAAATATTATATTTGTTCATTTATTTATTGAGGAAAATTATCCAGTATCACATATCTGTGAGAGACAAACGTTTGTGAACATTTGCTTTCAGTATCTGGTGAGAAACCCCCCAACCCCACCCTCCTACCCCCACCCGTACAGCAATAACTGCAACTAAACATTTCCAGTAACTGTTGGTCAGTCCTGCACACCGGCTTGAAGATTCCTCTGCACAGAACAGCTTCAACTCTGGATGTTCGTGGTTTCCTCACATTAACTGCTGCTTCAGGTCCTTCCACAACATCTGGATTGGATTAAGGTCAGGACTTTGACTTGGCCATTCCAAAACATGAACTTTGTTCTTCTTGAACCATTCTTTGGTAGAACCACTTGTGTGCTGAGGGTCATTGTGTTGCTGCATGACCCACCTTTTCTTGAGATCCAGTTCATGGACAGATGTTCTAACATTTTCCTTTAGAATTATCTGATATAATTCAGAATTCATTGTTCCATCAATGATGGTAAGCTGTCCTGGCCCAGATGCAGCAAAACTGGCCCAAACCATGATACTACCACCACCATGTTTGAGATGAGGTTCTTATGCAGAAATGCAAGTTTTAATTTCTCCAAACCTAACGCTTTCATTTAAACCAAAAAGTTCTATTTTGGTCTTATCCGTCCACTAAACATTCTTCCAACAACCTTCTGTCTTGATCACATGATCTTTATCAAACTGCAGATGAGCAGCAAGGTTCTTTTTGCAGAGCAGTGTCTTTCTCCTTCAACCCTGCCATGACATCATTGTTGTTCAGGGTTCTCCTGACGGTGGACTCATGAACATTAATGTGAGAGAGACCTTCAGTTGTTAGAAGTTGCCCTGGGGTTCTTTGTGACCTCGCCGACTATTCCACACCATGAAGTGATCTTTGTTGGTCCACCACTCCTGGGGAGGGTAACATTGGTCTTGAATGTCCTCCATTTGTATATAATCTGTCTGACTGTGGATTGGTGGAGTTCAAACTCTTTACAGATGTTTTGTAACCTTGTCCAGCCTGATGAGCATCAACAACTCTTTTTCTGAGCTCCTCAGAAATCTCCTTTGTTCCTCCATGATCCACTTCCACAACATGTTGTGAAGAACAGACTTTGATAGATCCTGTTCTTTGAATCAAACAGGGTGCCTCCTCACACCTGATCATCATCACATTGATTGAAAACACCTGACTCTTAATTTCACCTTCAAATTAACTGCTAATCCTGGAGGTTCACAAATATGTAATATTGGATCATTTTCCTCAATAAATAAATGAACAAATATAAAACTTTTGTCTCTTGTTTAACTGGGTTCTATTCATCTTAAAGGCAGCTGTGGCTGAGTGGTTAGAGCAGTTGTCCTCCAATGCGAGGGTTGGGGGTTTGATTCCACCAGCAATCACATGCTGAAGTGTCCTTGGGCAAGACACTGAGCCTCTCGTTGCCTCTGATGTGCGTCCCATTGGTGTATGAATGTGAAAAAGCTCTGATTAGTTGTTGTAAACATATAGCAGAGTGCTGTATGAATGGGTAAATGAGGGCACAGATTGTAGTGTAAAGAGATGTGAATATCTTGATTAGATAGAAAGGTGC